CAACAACAATTTCTTCTTTGTTTCCAACTTTTGTGTTCTCTTCATAAATAATTACTCATGTACCTTGGTTGCATGTCTGGTCAATTTCAGACAGATAAGCTGGTAAAAGTCACTTTGCTTCCTTCTTCACTTGCTTCAGTATGGGTGCCTAAATTCTAATAGCACTGGTATTAACTGTATTTCCTTGAATATACATAGATGTTATTTTATTACTGACTGTACTGGACTTCAAGATAAACTGTAAAGTGTCTTTTACTGACAATGAATGCAATACCATTCCCCTTGAATTTATCATTCCTGGCGTAGTACACTAAATGGCTTTTTGATTAAAAGTGGCCAACACCAGTTCATTTCAGTTCACTAATGCCTAGGATGCTGGTCTCTGCATTTTATTTCATTATTTGTGACTGCTAATTTTCCTAGGCTCATACAGTGTACATTCCAACTTCTGATTATTAAAAACTGCTCCAACTCCTTCTCATTTTGATTGGGGACCTATTCACAAATGAAGGTTCCCAAAGTTTACTTGATCCATGTCACTACGGTTGATGCTACATTAAGAAGGTAGCTCTTCCGCAGTCATATTCTGAGTGCCCTCTGGTTTCGGGCCGCATTTTCCTGGCATTATACCTGACAATGTTAGGCAGCTGTTCTTGTGGTTTTCTCTGTCTGACCGTGTCCTGCTGTTAGTCATAAGGCTTTCAGTGCTGAATTCCTCAGAAGTGGACAGCCTGCCAAGGCCTTCGTCACACTCTGTTCTTTGTCTGTTAGCTCTGAAACTGGTTCGCCTTGGACAGCGCTGCTGGTATTTGGAATAAAGGTGACATAACTTCCCAAACAGCAACACATAAGCCATTCCAATCCAACAAATGGACAGACAAGTAGTCTGTCATGATTTACTAAAAAATTGTGAAGTATATTTTTAAAAAGTGAGACATATTTTGGTCAGTTTGTCCTATTATAGTCTGCCCAAAGTACTAACAACCATATGATTAAATTCAATTGGTAAAGACATTTCTTATTGTTTTCTTTTGTATCGTTTTGTGCATCCATACTATTGAAGGCAAGAAAAATCCATATAATTGTATCTTTCAAAACTTTTGGGGACAAATACATTTGTAAATTTTTAAGTCCTCTAAAATTAGCAATTACAGGAAAAAATGAAGAATTTAAAAAACATCAAAATCTCTGATGGAGTACAGAGATATGTCAGCATTGTGTTAAATAATAAGTGATTTACAAGTTTATATAACGTCTTATACAGTGTGGCAGATGAGTATTGTCTCCTTGTTTTCAACAAATTTATTTTAATGTAAGTTTAGTGAATTTCTTTTAAAATAATTTCATGTGGGATATTATTGAACTTTTCAGTCGGTGTACTTACATATAATATTTACCATTATTTAAATGTTCATACTTATTAAAAATAATCCTTTGAAGCAGTTCATAGTTGTATTTTACATAGTAAGGATCTGATTCAAAGTGAATATTCCATATAAATTGCAACTCTAATCTTCCTTTCAGAAAGACAAAATTAGTCTAGAATTAATACAAAATGTAGTTTATTCTCTGTGACTTAAAGCTTTCCTAATTTTATAAAGTGGAATCATATTTCACATATTTTCATAGCAGAAATCCTATGAGGGTAAATGAAATAAACTATTTAAAGTGTTTGTGAAAATGAAAATTTGCTTAAATCGATTACCAGATATGTGCAGTTAACACAGAAAAATAAAAGATATTCTAGCGAGCAATACATTGTCCTATGGGCCAAAACCATTTTGCTTGTTTTTAATCCTTATAATGTAAGAGAAACTGGAGTTCATTTCTTATATCCTGGATTAAAATACACTACAAAGCAAAACAAACAAGAACATCAATCATTAAATATTTTTAAAAAACATTAAAAATATTATTGATTTTTAGAGATAACAAAATAGGTAAATAACCAACTAGCATAAGCATTTCACATCTCTATTTTCACATTACTTAATGTTTTTCTTGTCAATAGAATCCCTCCAAAGAAGTAGAAAATATTACGAAAATCATGAAAGTGAAGAAATGAAGAAAATAGTTGATAAATGTGTGAATTTATTTAATGCAGAGAGACTACTTTGGGACACAGTTATTGTGTATGTCATGTGCGTTTGTATTTCATAAAATGGTTAACATCTCAAGGCAGATACTGATGTCAAGATATATATGATTAGTTTTGGGGATAGGTGTGAACCATGTAGGCAAGTTTCATTTAGAAATATTAAAGACACAGGTTATTTTCCTGGGAAAATTTCAGTGAAAACAGAATGAATAGCTGGGGTATCATTAAATATGTGTGCTGGAATGTCACTAAAAAGTAAGCAACTATAGTTAAAAAAATAATTTGAGGCAAAGATAGAAATATGTAATAACTGATTTCATCTTGTAAATGCAACACTACATATTTGAAACATGTTGGCGCATGATTTCCTGGTTGTAAAACTAACAGATTAAAAAATCAGTTTTGCAGAACCATAAAATAGTTGAATCACAGAACCAAGGAGCTAGATCAATCATCTTCAGATATGATCTTTATATTCTTAGATACCACAAACCATTTGAAAACACCTTTTAAAAAGTGTGTTTACTATGGGCAAAGTGATTGCATATTTTTATTATAACAATATCATATTTGTTTATGATTATGCTTTCATGAAATGAATACTGGAAAATTTTAAGATTTTAAAATGTCTAAATTCCTTCTCTGTCATTGCAACTGTATCTTCACAAATTGATTGAGTGTTCATAAACTATTTATACAATCATTGAGAATGTAGTAAAAACTAGCAAAGTTCATATTTCTTAGTATTTTAATCATTCTACTAGGAAATACTCATGTTCAGTTTTTCATATCCATGATCTAAGGTAATTTTCTCCACAGTGCTTTAATCTAAGCAAATTCTATCTTTATTTGAAGCCTAATAGTTACTTAAGTTAAAAAATGGAACTTCGGAAAATATGGTTATGAATCATTTTAAGCTTTCATTCCACCCAGTATATTTTAGAAAACATTCTCTCTTACTACCTAATTTACATAAAAACAACCAAGGTTTTAAATTTAATTTTAAAATGAGAATGCATTTAAAAAATAATAAAACATCCACTCTTATATAAATATTTCCATGAAGAATGGTAGTAATTTTACTGCATATGTAAACACGTTCTTGGCTAAATCATGATTTTTTTCACACACACCCCCCCACACACAGAACTTTATATGCGCAAATGAAGACCACATTCATTGCTATCTCATTTTCTAAGATGATTTTTAAAAAAAGGTTTATGTAAACTTTTTGCAAGGTTCTGTTATCAGAGACTTCTTGGTATGTTCTTTGGGAAATATGAATAGTTTTTCCATTTTCCTGCTTTGTTCCCCTAGTAGCATCTTTTAAAAAACCATTGTAGCCATAAGTAAAATAGAACATACCTTTTTTGGAAATCAAATAATTTCAATGCAGCAAAAGTTGGTTTATGTCAATGCTGTCTAAGTAAAGTGTTAATAAATTATCATACTCTCACCGAGGTATCCTGTGATTAAATCCAAAAAGGCATGACAGCCAATCTGCTTCTTCCCCAAGATTTAAATTCTTTCTATTGGGTTTCAATATTAATTTCTCTCAGAAAATTACACTTGAGATTGAAGTATGATACATAATTCAAAAACCATTCTTTAGGTTTTTTTATACCATAAAAAATGACAGGACAAAGCCACTTGGTAAGGTTCTACTTTACCCATTGCCAGATTTCATTACCTATTGTGTTTTTCACTGAAGACTCATGATCGCTAAATTATATATATTAAATAAGTTTAAAACTTTGCATCACATTTATTATAAAAATTAACTTGCTTTATAAATATATAAATTTCAAGTGATTAAGAAAAAAATCTCTGAATTATATAAACTTGTGCTTGCTTCTCTTGCTTTAAGAAAATCTTTAACACCCATGCTACCACTTGTTACATGTGCATATATGTATACCTTCATTCATGAATTTTTTTAACCAAAACAATTTACTCATACAAAAAATATGATTAAAGTGTAAAAATACTCTGAGAAAATCCTGTAGTTATGTATAATGAATCTCAGAATTTTAATCTTGGCAAATGTTGACAATAAATGAGAAATTAAACTAATATAGGACTTTAATTCTTTTAACTTAGAAAATAAATTATCTGGAGCATATCAGTTTTATGAGGCAGCTGATATTTACTTATGAGTCCCCCCCAACTATGCACATAGATTTTTCTGGATTTCTGCTCCAGCCTAAGCCAGATATATGTTTGGCATTTGATTTGTAAATAATTAAGAATATCCCATTTGTACTCTGATCTTCAAAGATGTGCTAATTTTTACTGCATTGGCACTAAAGTAGGAACAATATCTGAAACAACTATCTGAACAATAGCCAAACAAACTATTCAAATATCTGAAACATCTCAAGCTTGGTAATATGCAAAACATTTAAGATTAAATGAGGTTTTGTTTTTCAATGCCTTATATATCCAAAATTATTATGGCAGTAAAAGATCCTATTTCTGTGATGGTCATTCCAGGGTTCCAGGACCAGGGTATGAACGGTGATTTGTCTTTGACAGAGTGGATTCTACTTTCATGTATGATACATTTTAACTTAATGGAACAACAAAAACCATGGCATGTTAAATATAGAACTGATACTAATCTTAAAACTCCCTACCTAGAATCAGAACCTCTCCCAAGAACTTGTAGAGAAGTATGAACATTTGAATGATTTACTATAACATTTTATTTGAAATAATCCACTGGGAAATCAGGTGTGATTCAGCTTCAGGAACCGATTTCATTCTCCTCGTCAAACTGATAAAGTGCAAGCAGTGTACTGACTGTTCAAACGTACACGAATGGAAAAAGAAAAGGAATGCTGACAATCATACATATAGGTGGCACATTACATTGGTGTGAAAGTGGGTGGGGACCACTAACCATATTAGGCTTGGATGGGCAACAGCGCACAGGGAAGAAGCCCTCCCACAGCCACATTCGCAGCAACTGAAAAGCAAACAAGAAAGCCCGAGATAAGGATGAGATCCCACTCCCACAAGATAGCATAACCACACTGAACGTAGTTAGCTGCCTGTATTGCTTTGCAGTAACAAGAGTCACTAAACGCATATGATACAGAGATTCCGCAATGCCTTTCAAATTAATAAGCATTTCATGGATTTAAATACAGAACTGTTTACTTAAAATGATTACTCAATAGCAAATAGATTAGGCCAATCAATTAAATTAATTAATATAGATAAGTCATCAATTAAAAAGTAAGCCCATTTAAATATATCTTTTATCAGTAATCTCTACACAATTATCATTGGAAGACATTCTGAGTAGTCCTTGAAACATATATATTGCATATGGCCTACAGAATTAGGAGGGAGGCTGTAGTCTTGCTCAGTTATTGATTTCTTATGCCAGTGGTATTATTTCTCATAGTCTACTAAACATGGTATGCTTCACTATAGTCTTCAATCAATTCTGCTATTAATTTAAATTATTAGATTTTAAAACTGTACTCTTAAATATATATTTGCAAAGCTATTGCTATATTTAAAAAGGAGCAAACCACTTATAATGCATGCACTTCTGGGTATTTCAAGATCCTGTTAAAGTTTCTAAATATTCATTAAAAATATTCAGAATATTAAAGTAAAACAATTTAATAAAAATCACTTTATTGATAGAAACCATGCAAACTGATGGCAGAATACAATAGGTACATGACATGGTGTTTCAAAATATTCACTATCAAGTATAATTTTATGAATAACATTTATAGTGATTTCAAGAGCATTGTGGAATGAGTTCCTTGATGATATCAAATACCAACATGCCCAGGGATTTTTCAAAATCTCCTATTATGTACTTAAATTAGTATATACTCTACATCAAAACGACTTTAATAAAAAATAGCAATTCAAATAAATTTTAAAATGATAAAAAGACCTCTATTCTCAAATTAAATTTTAATGAACATTTTCCAAAAAAGTAATCAATGGTTAATTATATTTTCTTGAAACCTGATATTTTAATGTTTTGCACTTGCAAATACTTGAGGTTTGGGGTGTCCCTTAAAATGGAATCCTAAATAATTATTCTCTCTAGAAATATAAGCTATTAATTTACAGTATAATCATGATATTAAATATTTCAAAATAGTTAAAGCATCTGTACAATATTTTGTCAACTTTTAATTTCTTTCTCATCAACTTAATTTATTATTGTCTTAAACTATTACTTGGAATTTTACATCTTTTAACTTTCTTATGATCTTATTTCAGCACTTAGACTATTGATAGACAAACTACACATGTGGGTCAAATGCTGCCAACCATATTACTTACTTTTGTAAATATAGTTATATTCAAAAGATTCTATGTGGTTATGAAATTTTGGTGATACAATATGTAAGCTAGTGGCCATTTATTGCAAGATCTGCAGCAGCTACTTCATGAAAGAAAAGCCCCAATTGTCTTCTCCAATAAAGATTACAGCACAGAAAACTCAATGGGAAAGTTCTACATGATTCAACAGGGTTGCCTTGAGTCAGAAGTTTGCTACCATCATTGCTTACTGTCTTCATCCTGCCAGAACTGAGCACGTATGGTCGCCAAAGCTTAGAACATTTACTATCTGACTCTTTATGGGAATTTTAACCATCCACTATTACAGACTGATAATTTCTTGAGATGAGGGATTACTTTGACCTTTTTTTTCCTTCATAGTTTTAAACACATTGATGACACAACTAGGTAGTCAGTGCTTGTTATTGTAATTGGTATTATTGATAAAATTATCTAGATTTAGTGATAACTGCCCAAGTATAAAGTTTGCATACATGCATTAATTTCAAACAGCACTATTTTAGCACAATGAGTAATTATTGATTATTGAGTGAGAAAGGTCCTGGAGACCTTTTTCCAAAAATCAGCTGATGAAAGTGCTATCGATACCAGTTTTCTGAACCTGTTGTGCATGAGGCAGCCCTGGCATGGGGCTGATTTAAGTGGCATGCAACAACACTGATTACAGATGAGCCTACCCAATTGTGTTTTCAGTGAGAAAGAGGAAAGGTACTCTTCCCTAATAAATTTAAACTTCCTTCAATTTAAAATAGTTTGTAGAGTTACTAAACCCAAGTAGAATTGTGTTTAGGAAGGCAATGATTGCACTAAAATTGGCTAGTACCTAAAGGATTTGTTTAACATTTGTTCAGTGCTAAAATATTAATAAACCTACCAATGATTCTAAAAATAATAACATTTAAAATATTAATAAGTTCTGTCTTAGGAATTAATGTACACATACACACATACATGCACTTCTGTATAACACCAAAATCCATAAGTTAAAATAGAGGAAAAGTTAATTTAACCTGAAAAATCAAACTAACCAAAAAAACCCCCCAAAACCCTCCAGCTCACTGCCATGCAGTCAGTTCAGATTGACAGTGACCTTCTCGCACAGGGTAGAGCTGCCTCTGCCGGTTTCCATAATTGTGTCAGTCTGTAGGGGAGTAGAAAGCCCCGTCTTGTTCCTGCTGGGAAACTGGTGGTTTTGAATTGCTGACCTTGCAGAATGCCACCCATCACGTAACCAGTATTCCACTGGGACCCCTAATAGCACAAATCTAATTTATAATTTCAATAAAGTATAGGCATGAAACACAAAGCCATCTAAAACAAACCACTTATGTTTTTTCCTAATGGACCATTTTAGTTAGATATTTCATTTCTTTCTTGAAATTGGTTCAAAATGGCATTTGTGTCTCAGCAGCTGTAATAGTAATGGATAACAATGGATCCAATCATATAACTTTTGGTGAAAACATTTATGAGCTCGATGTTTTTCTGATACCATATGTACACTTGATAAAATAAATTCTAATTTAACAGAAAATTATTGATTTTCTAGTGATCCTATAATATCAATCAACTAAGTATTTCAATTTATACTATAATTAAATAACTAGTTATACTCAGACCAATTTATGCAGGAAGGCCAATGAAATTAAAAATACATATTTGTAGGGTTTAGAGATCAGAACACGCCATGCACATCTATGCCACTAGGGGAAGACAATCTGAACTTCCTGTCCCAGGAACAGGTGAAGTAAAATTGGAGGCTCACAAATAGCTCTTTTAAAATAAACACTAAGATTGCTGTCACAGCTATACCACAACACCAGATGGTATAAAAAATATGTGCTTACCCTAATCAATAAACAGAGACATATAAGTTTAAATGCTTCCAATCCTTGGGGATAATTTGGTAACAGAACCCAAAGTGTGCTAGAAATAGCAGCCAATCTAATGTGTGTAAGCTATAGCTCAACACAGGGTGCATCTGCATCTCCCCCTCAGTCTTTAGCACCTGGGTGTCTGTAAGCACTGCATACAGATCGTTATTATCCACCTTTCTAGTAGTTTAGTCTGTTAGGTTTCCAATAATAAAAAAAAAAAACTGCTTGTGTTTTAACAAGAATTTTCTATTTGTCTTTCAGAAGATTAAAATATAATGGGAACTTTTCAGACCCAAGGAATATTCAAATGAAAGTACATTAACGGGGGCCTTACACAGAGTTGATCAATATATGTATGAAGAGTGTCAATGTTAGTAAGATAACCTCCCTCCTATGGAGGCAAAGGCCTTAGAGCTCCAGGGTAGAACCTCTCAATGATATCAGATCAGAGAAGCTGGGCAGCAGGCTGTGGATAAATGATGACTTAAATTCTTAAACAAGAGCTCATATAAGCAGATAAGAAAAGCACTAAATCTCAACAGTTGAGTGAGAGGAAGGCAGGAAGAGGGCTTTAGTTAGAAAGTCTGAATGTGAAAATATTTTCATTTAACTTGTAAAATAATAAACTGAAAAAGTGTATAGTTTCATCATGTCAATAAAAATAACAAAATTCAAAGCGGAGGAAACAGCGTGAGAGTAGTGTTGCTGCCCATAGCAAATGGCACTGAAGATAGCACCATTTCTTCAGAAACAATTGGCAAGACCTAACACACTGTGATAAAATATCACAATGGTATGGCTAAAAAGTAAGACATGAAATTTGCGGTAGTCGCTCTTGTCATATCTAAAATTAAATCTACTCAGGGAAATGGACTTCTTATGGCTTAGTGTTATAATTGGAGCAAATTATTAACGGAAGCAAATGAGGTAATAATAGAAACTATATCTCCTAGAACTATTCTGAAACATGATATTGATAACACACATTAAGTCTGCTGTAGTACTCTAGGATCACTCTCAATACTTTAAAACTTTTTAACTTATATTATAATAAGGTGCAAATCATTTGCATGAGGCTGATTAATTGGATTTATAATGGTCATAGAATTTACAGAAATTTAATGGTCAATAAAACATTTTTCAGGAAACAAATATAAATTTATGGAGTCTATTAAGCAATGGAAATAAAGAAGTTATATTAAACAACATGGCAATTAAATATGTGCAAATAAATGAAATGATAGCAATATGTAAAAATGGAGAAATAGAAAGATAGGGATCAGACAGAACTAGACACTACTTTATTGTTGGATTACATTAATTAACATTGTGGGAAGTATTAGTTTTCGAGGTTTCAGGTTTTTTGAGGTGCTTATCTCATGTTTACTCTTAAATCAGCACAGAACTTAACAATTTCAGTTACAGTACTTATTAGAACATACTGTACACAATTTATTAGTATAAAAATCCTAAACATAATATTGAGGTGAAACAAATGTTTACCAGAAAAATCTGGGTAAATTTTGTGCTTTTAATTAATGCTATCAGCATCGATTATTATTACAGTTCCTATTTATATGCTAATACAAAATATTTGCATCTATGTCTTAATTCTCTTTTAGGTTTCTACAATTTGCATTTCATTTCCTGAGGAAGTCAGGCTAAACCTGGAGAAATCATTTGCAAAAACTAGAAAGTAATAAAAATCAAAATATAACAGGTGGCCAATTCTGTCATTCATTTCCCATCT